AAATAAGTCGAATAACGAGAATGAACTTGTGAATACATATATTTTGTATATGAAGCGAATGGAATAGAGAGAAGCGAAACGTTGAGTAGTGGAGATCGCGGGTAAGCCAACTCCCTTTAGACAAGCATTAATCAATATTTATAGTTACACAAAAATTAAGTTACAGACATGTGATGATTAATGGAATAAGAAATGTACACAAACATATGCGCTCATATAAAAAGTGTCAAGATTGATAAGCAAATATTTAACATGCTCAGAATGTGACTCAAGTAGAATGAATAGATTAGCCTGTCCGAAAGCTAGAATATGGGCTTAACTTAATAACCGACACTACAGTACAAACTAGGAATCTCAGGTATCACTCAATTTACTCAAGAAGTACTAGATGAACACGAACGAATATATTGTATTTGGAATTTGAAATCAAGCAGTCATCAAGTACAAAAGAATCCTTAGTTCATACAAATAACACAGTATTACTTATATTGACATAAGTAGCATATAATGATAGTCAAGAATAGAATATCTGACAATATTAGGTCAAGAAGGAAAGAACGACAACCGAAAACAATTGGCATGAAAATGTAAGAACAATGAAATCTGTGATGATTGACTAAAATGAACAGGTAAGACAATTGATCGGCAGTTTGTAAATAAAGAATTTACTGTTTGGTTCTTAGATCTTACGATGGTATTCTGTAATTTTTTTTATTATCTAAATACATTCAATTGTCCCCACTTGTGTGTTCTCCTTCCCTACTTGGATCAACATTTATGTCGAACTTGTATATAAAACTTGAATTAGAATAAAATATCGAATTAGGTCTGTCGAGTTTGGAAAGTGGTATCAACTGGCACGTACTATATCTAGAGTATAGTTAAATAGATCCATATTAAGTTCTTAAGATTGGTATTGTTGTTCAGTTTTACAATAAACATAATCAAGTACAGAAGAAATACTTTGTACACCTGATGGAGAATGTATTCTATGGAACTATACTCTAACGGGCTTTAGTGTCGTTTACTATGCCAGTTCACATAACTTATTCTACCTTCCGGACAGGTTCATCTATTCATTCTTTTTGAATCACATTTTGATCACTTATCAACTCTGATTGTATTATTTGAGCTTATTTGTGTTTCATTCTTATCCTATTCATCACATATCTGTAACTTATTTTCGTCTGATTATAAATATTAATTAAAGTTAGATTAAATGGAATTGGATTACATGCCTTCTCCACTGTGTGTTATTTCGCTTCTCTCTCTTCTCTTTGCTTCTTCAATCTGTTTCACTCTTCCCTCTTTGTTTCGTCTCCCTGATTACCGATACAAATCAAATATACATATTCTCGTATTTAGCTTATTTCATTCCACTAATCACTAACACAATTCAAGTCATTGATTACATACGAAGATTGGCAGCATGTATATTTCGGTAGCGAGCAACATACGATCTAATTGGAGTCAGATTCAAAGCCACAAATAAGTGGTGAGCTAGTCGACATCCATTATTCATGTCTAAAAAAGTACATTAACAGTAATGTAATTACTTTTGTACTGAAGATTCTATTAAATGCTGTTCTGTGATGAGCTAATACATCAGCGTTGTGGTATACTTTAGCTATGACTGGATATAATTTCGTATTAAGGTTTTATATTAACTTAATAATCAGTTACTGACTTTATTAACTGATATCATGTTGTAGATCAATCAGTCTTGTCTCATTTTACGTTATTATTACGTCATCTAGAGCGGCATTTCTGATTTGGATGGTATTTAGATGAAATAAAGCTAGGAATGGCTGATTCAAGACACTGGCTATTGAACTATGCCGCATAAGTGAACGCAGTTTCTTTAGGTAAGGTTTATGAAATAATCATAATCTAGGGTTAGTGATGTCGCTTAATAGCTAATCTCTCTTAATCTTGAATCAGGATGTCAATAGAACTAAATAACTTAGCCTTAACTTTATAAGCAAGACACAACAGACTAAAATATACATAATATGTCTTTGATTTTAGATAGAATTATCCTACAGTACGGTATACCAGTGATTCTGTATTGTCTAGATACCGTTATCCTAAAGCTTTGATGTCAGATTATTGAAGCTAACCTCTTGTACAACTGAGATATTTTTATTGTTTACTTATTGAATAGTCAGTGATCAATATCATTTTATCTAGTCCTTAGTATTAATTGAAGGACATATCAAACTCAAAACAACTGTCTATCAGCTAACATCAAAGTCAGTACCTTCAATACGAAAATCAACACAGTTCGTTTTAGTTGTATGGAGCTGAAACGTGGAGAACTATTATAACCACCGTCAAAATGGTACAAGAATTTATAAACAATTGTCTACACAATATATTCGATATACGTCGACCGGATGCCACTAGTGGAAACCCACCTTAGGGGAGAATAAACAAGCTTCTAGATGAAAGGAACATTAGGAAAAGATGTTGGTAATGATTGGGACATACATTGTGGAAATCATCAAACTGCATCACGAGGCAAGAGCTAATTTGGAATTCTGAAAAGAAATGGAAAAGAGGAAGATCGCGAAACATATTGCGTCGGGAATTGGAGGTAGACATGAAAAGAATGAATAGGAATTGTAAATAATTACCTATGACAGTTGGTTAGTGAATCCTGGTGGGCGGTCTACTCTCCTACGATGGGTAACAAGCATTAACAAAGTAGGTAATTTTCTCGTTCTTCAAATCATAACATTGAATATGACGATATTCGTGAAATATGAAGTCAATATATATATTTCTGCCTGTTGTTCTTTGACAAAATAGTCTATTGGAATTCCATCATTTCATATTAAATGATGAGAATTTCAAACGTACCTTATTTATCAAATGGTTTATTTTCATTTCTCATGATACAAGTAGCTCACTGATGGTTAAGACACTCTTCTTCTGAAGGCCACACATTTTGTATGATGTTAACTGTGACAGATTGTGACCGAAGTTATTCCCGGCACTTTCAATTTTCGATACTTGTGTTGTATCAATCAATTTAGGCTAGTTTTCCAATTATTTAATGGGTAGAGTGATTCTCACTAGAAAATTTTATGTGTCGAATGTTATCTATAACTATCGTCCATGTTTACGTCAATCTACTTGAATAATCTTTTCTGGTTAGCGTTTATTTAGTGAGCTTTTTTTCTACAGGATGGGGCCACTAACCCGATGCCCAACCCTCCTTTTTTATCCAAGCTTGGGACCGGCAGTAACCCCAAAGGTGCTCCACGAGGAGTTATATGTCAATGTAGCCCATAGCAAAATACAGAATGTAAAACACAAATATGATGAAAACTAAAGCATAAAATGAAGCCTGTAACGAAGATTATACTTGAATACTCAGAAATAATCCACTAAAGACGTGATAAAATGGTTAGAAACAAACATAATGAACATCGAAAATATTTCCGACAACCTCAGCCATAGTTTATCTGTTTATATATCTTAATTAATTACTTAAAAATATTATTAAAACCTTAAAATTATGCAAAGAAGGATAGTGGCTAGCGGTGGAATCTACGACGCCCACCACTGCGTCCAAGTTGGGACTCGTCAGTTGAATGTACCTACATCTCAGAGTTGATCTTCACTCCAGGACTAGAACTCATTACCGTTCGCTTCAAATACCATTACGTTATCCACTTAGCTACTGATTCCTGTTAGCCACCTGCTCGTGCAATGAGGTGAAGTTTAAACACCAGATGAACTTAAAATTATGAATATCAGTACCTTTATTCGAAAACATTGAAAATTTCCTATTGGCGATAGATTTGATTGTTCCAGATAATGGTGTCAATGTTATCCAGCTTATTATTATCATTACTATTATTGATATATATGTGGAAATGTGGGAGCACAAAAAAGAATAGAACAGTGTTTTATTTTCGCATTTGGTACTATTTCACTACAAAAGAATACAACTAACATTTCTGTAAGTCCTTACGATACGATGATATAAGACAGAGAGAATTTATAAATAGTGATTTCTTTCAAATAATAGTTATTTAACGTCCAGTATACGAATAGACCATGTGATGTTTTGAATGCAACCACCAATCGTACTGTCTTCACTCTCTCTCTCTCCCTCTCTCACTCTTTATCCCATATTCTAGCTCTCTTTATTATGATTACTAACATATTAGCTTGTTATTAATAGTTATGTCTTGTATTACTAGTTTGCCCACATTCTTTTTCCCTGTTTCTATGTGTTCCAATCTTGCTCGCTCCCTCCCTCTCTCTCTCTCTGTGTGTGTGTCTCTAAAGCTGTCTATGTACTTTCTTTTTACTATATAATACAACTAACCATATGATTACAACAGTAGGATTGACGACAAATCTTTACCGTTGATTAGACATTATTATATAATCATCAATTCATAAGATGGGATTATATAGAAATATGATAAAGAAATTGTCTATGCATAGATCTCTGTTATTAAAATGTAACACAATATAGGAAGGGATAATAGAAACCCACGCAATGTCTATGTGTTGTATATATAGTAATGTTATTATATATAACTATCGAAATACCTAACTAATCACATAATTCACTGATTAGTTTAAAGTCATAATCATAAATGTATTCGAATAAGAATGTTTCATATTCACAATATCTATGCATATAAATAGAAAGATAATAACACAGTGATTACTATTAATAGTTTTATATGACTTAGCAACAACTGATTGATACAATTTCTATCTTCATTTGATTACATAATATAAGTTTAGTTGTCACGCCTACATACACATACACATACATACATACATACATACATACATGCACACAAAAAAACAGGGAGACAACAGAATCCAATGAACAATTATTTGAATGAAATAAAATATTGAATATAATTAAATTTCACTTGAATCTATCGATGAATATTTTATCAGGGTTCACTTGCTTTGTGTTGTTACTATGGGACAATGAATTAAGTCATTAACCCATCGAATTAAATATGACAACTCCTAAAATGTATACTGATATGAATATAGGGAATCAAGCAATGAATAATAATAATAATAATAATACAAATGTTACATCATTACTTGTTCGTGAACGTTTAAAAAATTGTGTATTAAATAAACGTAAAAGTAAAGAACAAGGAATTCATTCAAATGAGACAATATTGTTGAATATGGGTATTAGTCAACAACAACAACAACAACCCCCACCACCACAGCAACAACAACAAAGTGATCATATCCTTGATAAAGATTTAATGCAAATGAATCAAGAACAATCTGTTAGTAATAATTGTTTAATCAATGATCATTTGAATGGTAAATCTATACCACTTAGTAACCAAAACAGTAATCATAGTAACAATAATAATAATAATAGTAATAATAATAATACTAATGATAGTAGTTGTATTACACCATTAACAATAGATGTTGAAAATCTTTCATCCCATAATCAAACAATCACTATGACATCCTTACCAATCAATATGAAAAAATCTAATATATTACATCATCAAATGCAACATTCTTATTCAAATCATGAAACGGATATACATTATATGGATTTTCAAAATTTACATACATCTGACATGGAAACAAGTAATTGTGAAAAACATATTGAACAACATGATCATTCTAGTCATGATCATATCACATCAACATCGTCAACAACCTAATAAATTAATTGATGAAAATCTACGTAAAACAGTATCAGAGCCAAGTTTAAAAATGCGTAGTGGTTCTGGTGGTGTTCAAAAATCACGTTATAAACCAGATCGTCGTCATTATTATCATCATCATCATCTTAATCATCATATTGGAATGAATACAGCAGCAGCAGCTGTAGCTGCAGCTGCAATAACTGTATCTAATGATCCATTAGCAATGATTGGATTATGGCCACAATTAACTTCAGCATTTCAACATACAAATTTAATACAAAAAACAATGAATAAAAAACCATCACAAGATCTAAATAATAATAATAATAATAATAATAATAATAATAATAATAATAATAGTCATATATCATCGATAGATTCTGATGAACGATTAACAAAATCCGATAGGAAATCTTTAACACAATCTATATCACTTAGATCAAATACTATACAAGATGTCATTTTAACCGAGTTTATGAAACAAAATCAATTAATCAATAATCAGGAATCATTAGAAACTATGAATACATGTTGTATCAATTCACAAGCAATGAATTCATGTCATTCATCATTTGGAACTACAACAATCAATCCATCTATATTGAATTCAACAATGATGAATGGATTTTGTGCAAGTTTACCAAATTTAACAGCACAATATCATCGTACATCATCATCATCCTCATCATCATTACAAACAAATCATAATAATAATAATAGTAATATAAATAATAATAGAACAACGAATACAACAATACCGACAAATACATCTACACCGACTACACATCATGTAACTCAATCAAGTTTTGATTGTAATGAATTCAATCAAATTGATACAACAATGTCTGATCTAATGAATGATCATGTATCTAATCCAATTACACAAATCAATAAATCATTCTATCATTTATTACCATATTATCGATATCAATCAATTGGTTTAATTAGTCGAACTAGATCAGCACCATTAAGTTTAGCTACTAATTCGAATATAACAAATTATCGATCTATACAATTACAAAATTTAAATCATGTACATAATTTAACTAATTCAATGAATACACCAACATCTGTGACATCAGCAGCAAATCTATTAGCTATGGAAGCGGCTACAATTAATTATGGGAATCAACAATCAAATCAATCAATCAGAGAACATGATCAATTCAGTGGAATCAATAACAGTAATAATAGTTTACAATCAACTATAGATAATGAATTATCATCAAGAAGTAAAGTTGTTTTACAATTACGTAAGAAAATTCTAGAAAGGTAAATGATTGATTACTGATTCTAAGATTGCCTAATCTATTTAATGATCTTTTTTTATTATTAGAAGGGGGTTTAATGGAGATGTTTTAGAAATGAATTGATTGAGAAGATTTGTAGCTCAGGTGGATGATTTTCATGGAGTTTTGTTGTCTGAGGTGGATGGTTTAGTCGTGGAGTTTTCATCATTCTTCTGAACGACATCATCAACAACACAAACTTCAGGTAGAAGTGAAGTGTTCGAATCTCTTCATATGCGTTTCACAGTTTGTTTTGTACACCTCGACGTTGATTGGTTCTTACTGACATTTGATTATTACTGCTATTATTATTCTTTATTCTACCTAATTGATCATGTTCTATTATTGATTGATTTTGTTGTTGATTACCAAAATCAAATTCAGGGTCAATAAGGACCAATCAACGTCGAGGTATGCTGAACAAGCTGTGAAACGCATATGGAGAAATTTGAACAATTCACTTTTATCTGAAGCTTGTGCTGCTGATAATGTCGTTCAGAAGAACGATGAAAGCTCCACAACGAAACCATCCAGCTCAGAGAACAAAACTTCATTAAGAGTTTTAGAAATTTCAATAGTTGAAATCATGGTGATCTAGTTTCAATTGACTGGTGATTTTAACTACTGAACTTTTTAAAATCTACACAAACACCCCTTCTGATAATAATCATCTGCTCACTAGTGACTGACTTCAAGAGGAAATTTTTTTGGAGTTCCAGTGATTAGACGTTACCAGTAGAGTTCAACCAGGTCTGTTGTGAGATATTAGCTCACTGAAGACACTGGTGTACAGTGGCGCGATTGCGTGGGTTGGTTGACGTTAGACATTAACACTGTTGGATGCCGGCCGGCTCAGTGGTCTAGTGGTTAGGCGCTTGTGTGCGAGGTTAAGTGATTCTGGTTCCAAAATCTCCCGAGGTGGGTTCGTGGATGCGCAGTGTTGAAGAGTCCCATACTAGGATGAAATAACCGTTCATTACTTCTATGTTTTTCATTGTGGTCTAGCTTCAATTGACTCATGAATCCAACTAATAATATTTATCTATTGATTGGAGAAGTATAGAGGTAATCAAGAAAGATTGGAAATATGTATCAATGCCAAGGTTGGACTTGATAATTACTAGTGACTTTCAATATAAAACTACCATGTACATTAGTGAAATGCTTTAAACGTAAACAAAACAAACGTTTAATTCATTTTTGTATTGGTTTCTTGAATCTTTTCATTGCTGTTAAGGTCTGCAATTGGCAAATGTGTATCTTGTATGGATTGTCTAGATATTTCTTGAACTCACAAACATTATAAGTTCCGGAGTGAAAATCAACTCTAGGATGCAGGTACATCTAGCTGATGAGTCCCAAATAGGATGAAATGTACGTTCTAGATTTCACTGTTAGTTAACATCATTTCAACCTATAAAACAATCGTTATTTGGCTATTAGCGTATAGTCAATGTTCTTTTTCATTAAGTTCTGAGGTATATTATTGAAAAGCACTCAACAAGATGCAATTACAACTATAAAAGGCCATTACAGTTCTAAATCATTCAAACGAACATTACCTAATGTCAAATGTTCAGTGGTCTAGTGGTTAAGTGCTCGCGCGCGAAGCCAGTAGGTCCTGGGTTCGAGCCCCGCGTGGTGTGGGATCGTGGATGCGCATTGCTGAGGAGTCCCATACCAGGACGAAACGGCCGTACAGTGCTTCCAGGTTTTCAATGGTGGTCTAGCTTCAACTGACTCATGATTTCAACCTGTGAAACTGATTACCAAGTTTTAAAAAAAGTATTCTATTCATGTTAAAAATTTCAGATCTGAATTTTTAACATCAGATCGTTCATGTGTAAACATTTCGGATGGTTCTAATTCACCAATTTCTCGAATAAATCAAACAACTGGATGTGGTAATCCATTATTAGAGAGAACAGCTTCAAGTCCTGTAGTTAATATGGCTCCAACAATACGATCAGAAACTGTACCTGTAAGTTAATGGACTTATGTTTACATCATTATTATTGATATATATATATATATATATATATATATATATATATATATATATATATATATATATATATATATATATATATGTTTATAAAACATGATATCATTTTTCCTAACAACTTATTTTGTTTAAAGTTAAAGAGTGTGATAGTTCCCTGCACCCTCGAATGCCCCCGGATGCCCTCAAATACCCTGGTAGGGAAAGTCTGTTCTCCCTCTCCAAGTGTTCTTACATGGCCACGTGTATACAGCCATTATCAGGGAAGTCCTACTCACTTCCTTCTCGTAGCATTACTGTGAATGTCCGGCGATTTAACCGAATTGGTGGACACGGAGAGTCCACCTAGGTAAGTTGGAAAACCCTGATTCCCAACCAATGATGCACATGGTCTCCAGGATCATGAGGGAACAAATGACGTATGAACCAATTATTGGTCACTGACTACCATGAGACTGCATCTCCTGGCGTTGCCACACCACCTTTTAGATTAGACCTCTAGGTCAAAGTCTCCGGCTGTGGCCGCCTAAGAAAACCATTTTCTTCACTATGGGGAAATAAATAAAATAACTAAATAGTAAGCAATTTTCAGGAAACCCTTGATCTAGATCCCGTTTTATTTTTCACTCTTCTTTATCTTAAGGATACTTAATTATGCAATTAAATGATCAGATTTCTTATACAAATTGAGATGTACTACACAAATAGTTGTAACGTCTCTGACTGTGGAGCTGAATGACACGGAATCGAATCCGTCAGGGGGCACCAGTTCTCTCAAGCTTACAGGTACACCTTACTGACGAGTTTCAAGTAGCATGAAACTCGGGTTCAGGGTTTCCTGTCGACTACCTCCAAACACCATCTAATCTCACAATAGTAATCAATCAATTGTGAAGACTTGGTTGTTATTTGTGAAAAGAAATTTTGTTGTTTTCTAATTATAGTGTGTTGGAAACATCTGTCATAAATCATAAAACATCACAATGTCCATTCTCTGACGAATAGCTATACCTCAATGATTCTTAATTATAGTTGCTATTCACAGAGGTTTTGACAAACATAATTCCTTAATCAGGGAGGAGGGATTTGCGGATATTATAGTAATTTATTCATTGATTGGTTAAAGTTAGACATTACCGCTGTAGGATGTTGGCTCAGTGTTCTGGAGGTTAAAAGCTCGCGCACGAGATCGATAGGTTCTGTGTTCAAATCTCTCAAGGTGGTGTCATGGATGCGACTTCTGGGCAGTCTCACAATAGGACGAAATGGCCATCCAGTACTTCCATGTCTAGCTTCAAATGATTCTTAAATTCAATGACTAAAATAATTCCTTAAGGCGGAATTAGATAAATGATCATTATTTGAAACAAACAAAAAACATTTGTTATCTTTCACATGACACATTACAATTCTAAATATTTTGAAACTTATCACTATGGTCACAATGATGTTCCCTACAGTCACTTCAGATTCCTTTGTTAATTGTATAAAGGTTTGAATAATTTTTTCTAGTTAGCGTTTTTTTAACGAGTTAGTTTTCGAAGGGATGAGGTCGCTAATCCCATGCTCAACCCTCCTCCTTTATCCGGGCTTGAGACCGGCAGTAGCCTCCGGAGGTAATCCAGGCGGATTTCTTTATTAATCAACTTCTAATATAAAAAGAACATTGTCAATAATACATACATACCAAGCTGCCAGTTTCGGGGAAAATTTGGCACATTTTGGGGAAATTTTGGGGAAATGGCACAAAAACCCCAAAATTTCCCCAAAGTTGGGAGCTCGGGATATAAATAATCTTTCATCGTAATTTGAAATCTCCATTATGCTCTTGTCGAGTTTCCAAGTATTCTATTATTGATTGAAAATCCAACCCTATTCGCTAACTTCCAGGCCACATTCCAAAATATACATACTACTAATAAACAATCATATGAGTAGTATCCACTATAAAAACAGGTAAAACCCACTGAACATTGTAATCTCATGATCAATACATGATTCTAAAAGAATTTCTAAAGAAGAAAAAGAAAACATCATAATCATAAGAGTCTGAATTCCTCTTCTTTTTTTAAAATTTTTAAATACAATTTTATGAAGACTAATATCTAATGGGAAAATACTTTCGTCTTAACTTCATGTTACCTTTCTTGCCCAATTTGATAGAAATTTAACCAATCAACAATTCATGCTCAAGGTCATCCGATGAAATTGTCCAAAATTTAGAACTGAGACCTTTAGGGGATAGATAGATAGATAGATAGCTTGTTTTGGTCGATTAAAGAAAGCTAAATTTAGACCATAGTGATTAGTATAGATTTCATGATGGTGTATTGTATATATTTACATAGTAGAAGAACAAACTAAACAAAATTATTCCCTAAAGTTTATTCCTTTTCTTTTTTATGGTTTCACAACTATTCGGGTATAATAAAATGTTGGTTTTAGTTAAGAAATTCATAACATTAGATGAGATTACAATTTATGGACGACATCTAAGTTACGTGGAAGTGACTTTGAGAGTGGATACTTAATGATTAGAAGTAAATGACAGTTATAAAAGACTGATAGGTTCTGGATTCGAATCTCGCGAAGTGCGGGATCGTGGACGCGCACTGCTGAGAAGTTCCAGTACTAGGACGAAACGGCCGTTCAGTGCTTCCAGGTTCTCTATGGTGGTCTAGCTTCAATTGACTCATGATTTCAAACTGTGATATTTCTAATATCTCCACAAACCTCTTCTGACAGTAATCATTTGCTCACTAGTGACTGACTTGAAGAGATACTCCTGGAGTTCTAGTGAGAAGCCGATACCAGTAGAGTTCAATCAGGTCTGTTGTGAGATATCAACTCAGTGAAGACAATAATGTACGGTGGCGCAACTTCGTGGATTGGTTGAAGTTAGACATTAACACCGTTGGATGCCGGCCGGCTCAGTGGTCTAGTTGGTTAAGCGCCTGGCGCGAGACTGATAGACCCTGGGTTCGAGTCTCGAGGGGTGCGGTATCGTGGATGCGCACTGCTGAGGAGTCACACACTAGGGCGAAACGGCCGTCCAATGGTTACAGGTTTTCCATGATGGTCTAGCTTCAACTGACTGATGATTTCAATCTGTGAAGTTATAAAAGAGTTAGAACTCTCATTTACAGTTGATAGTTAAAGTTTAAAGAATTTGATTTAGGGTTTTCATCACGATTTAACCATATGGATGAATAAATTCCGCGTCAAAATCCGAGACCTATTATCTTACTTGTGATTGGTTTGTCCATAAATGATAGTTTCGCCAAATGTTGATTTGAATTAATGTGAAAAGAATCGACAACATTGATTTGATATATTTCTAATTGGGAATCTATAAGAATTAAACTACTTCTAGTACTATGAGAGATTTGAAACTTGTAAACAGAAATCTGTTTTTAACAAACTAAATGGACTAAATGGCTAATGACTGGCTGAATGGTTTTTAAATGAATATGTAAATAATCTTTTTGTGCTCCAGGTGTCGTGTGTGTTACTTATATACACATAAGTAGTATAGAACGATAATAAAGAATAGAATGTATTTCAGTAGAAGATTGAAAAGGAAAGAATGGGAACAGAAAGCAATTAGTATGAAAATACAGGAACAATGAAATCTGAGACGATGGACTGATATTTACAAAAGGATCAGTCAAGTTTAAGACAATTGATTGATAGTTTGTAAATGAAGTATTCATTGTATGATTCTCAGATTTTAGTAAGATGTTCTGTAATGTGTTCATATACATTCGGTTATCTCCATTCGTGTTCTTGTTCACTACACAAGTATCGTCCTAAATTATAGTAGGTAATATTCATTAACCTGTTTTGAAATGAATTTCATTAGTACGACTGTATTCATTCTAGATCTTCTGTAGTGAAGGAGAACACAGGTGAGGACAACTGGATCATGTTTAGCATAAAAATTTCAGAGTCACTTGGTAAAATAGAAAAACCATACTATAATATCTAGTTTGCAAAATGTTCAATAATTGTCTCGAACTTCATTGTTCTTGCATTTCCATACTAATTGCTTTCCATCCCCGCTCTTCCTTTCTTGATCTTCCCCATCTTCTGCTGCCAGACATTACATTCCTGTCTCGCGTCATATACTACTTATATCAATATAAGTAGCACGCACCACACTTCTTGTAAAGGTTTGCATCGTATATATTTTTTTCACTTTGTCAAGTTCCATTTGAATAAAATTGATTATTTTTCCTTATCTATTACTTGTCTCCTTCATTCTTATTGTTGCTTAATTGATATGATATGTGTCAACATGATTAATTGCATATCCAATGCTGTTTATAACTGATTGATAGAATGGAAATGAAAACAGTAAGGCTTATTACTAGTGTTATATCCCGATGAAAAGAATGAATGGTAACTGTCGGGATCTATTTCTGAACTATTACTATACGTGTATTTTTATCGTACAATTGTTAAGCTTTATTTTGACCTATGACCCAGTATTATACGTTTTACCATTCTTGAGTTATGCCCAGTCAATCAATTTCTATCTCCAACATTCACAGACACTTTTGGCTAATATTTGTACAAATGTTGTTTCATATTTTATAGTATGATGTGGTCTGTTTAGTTTTGTATATAAACCCAGTATGTTTGAAATACATAATTCATACCGCAGAGGCTGCGATTGGTGTTCTGCACTTAACAGGCAGGGCTAGCTAGGAAGCAGGACCGAAAATCACTCCAGACTTCTCGTACGCGTTTTATGCGTCATTGGGACGGTTGGTAAATCACTGTTCTCTGATTGGCGGTATCATTACGTTAAACATTAATAGGACGCAGTACACAAGTTGCAATAACTAATTCACTGTAGTTTAACCAATTAATTCATGAATGTGTTTATCCTTTGGATAAAATTTATAATCTTCAGAAGTCAAAAACGCTATAAGACTTGGGCTTTTTTAAAAAGAAAATTGGAGTATGACCAAACA